ACCCTTCTCAAACAAAGACTTAAAACATTACTTGATAGAAACTTTGACAAGTATGGTAACAAAAAGATGTCATTCTGTTAGCCGAAATGGTATACACTGAACTAATCCCTTTATTAAGATTAGATGTTCTCAGACTGGCTAGTCTTCCAAGAAGCTTTTCTCACCTGTGACTCAGTTCCTTTTACATTTCTTCCCTTAGCCTCACTGGGTGCGTCCCCATGAGCAGGAACGTGCATTTCCCCAAGGACAAACAGCACTGTCACATGTTTGTGCCGCTAGTTGTCCCCAGGCATGCCTGTGCACGCATGTTCTGGAGAATGGCAAATTGACCCAGGTCAGGTAAGGGAGGCTGGGGCCAGCACCTGAGGTCCCGGAGGGGAGAGGAGTCAGGTGTCCAAGAAGAGTGGTCGTTCCTTAAGGAGACGATCCTCCAAGTCCAAAGGGAGGTAATCCCAACACGGATCAAAGGGGGCAAGAGGGCGCAAAAGCCCCCTTGGCTCACCAAAAGTATATGGGAACATCTCCTAGCTAAAAGGGAGGCATACACCCAATGGAAGGGAGGGGCCATCACCAAGGAGGACTATACCTCAGTTGCTCGGGGCGTAGGGGGGCGGTCAGGAAGGCCAAGGCAGAGATGGAACTGGGACTAGCTACCCAGATCAAAGACAACAAGAAGTCCTTTTTTAAATACATAGGGGGTAAAAAGAAGGTACTGGGTAACATGGGGCCTCTGCAATACACGCTAGGAAATCTCGTCATCACACCAGACAACAAGGCTAACCTATTTAACAATTTATTTGCCTCCATTTTCCTGAGCAGGGACTGGGTCACCCCCCACCGGGACCCCCCTAGGACCCAGGAGGTCCTCGACTTCAGGAGGGCCAATTTCTGTAAGCTAAGAAGGTTAGTAGGAGAGGCATTGGGGTCTTGGGCTTCGAGGAGATGGGAGTCCAAGACGGGTGATTGTTCCTCAAGGAAACAATCCTCCAAGCTCAAAGAGAGTCAGTCCCAATGCACACCAAGGGGGGGCCCATGCTCAGCTCTATGAGCACTTGTGGGGCACTGGCCAGGTACCAGAGGATTGGAAAAGCACCAATGTGGTCCCCATTTACAAGAAGGAGAGAAAAGAGGACCCCGGCAATTATAGGCCAGTCAGTCTTACCTCAGTCCTTGGGAAGACCTTTGAGAAAATTATCAAGGAGCACGTCTCCAAGGGCCCAGCAGGGGAGGTAATTCTCAGGGGCAACCAACATGCGGGTGTCGGGGTGGATGTTGTCTTCCTGGACTTTAAGAAGGCCTCTGACATGGTTTCCCACCACTTTCTCTTAAAAAAACTTGGTGACTGTGGCATTGATGCCTACACAGTCAGATGGGTGGCAAATTGGCTAGATGGTCGCACCCAGGGAGTGATGGTGGATGGGTCATTTTTGACCTGGAGGGATGTGGGCAGTGGGGTCCCCCAGGGCTTGGTCCTTGGACCCACACTGTTCAACATCTTCATCAGCGACTTGGACGGGGGTGTAAAAAGCACCCTGTTCAAATTTGCAGATGACACTAAGATGTGGGGGGAAGTGGGCATGCTAGAAGGGAGGAATAGGCTGCAATCGGACATAGACAGGTTACAGGGGTGGGCGGATGAGAACAGGATGGGTTTCAACACTGACAAGTGCAAAGTACTGCACCTGGGTAGGAAGAACCAGCAGCATACCTACAGGCTGGGGAACTCCCTTCTTGTCAGTGCACAGGCAGAAAAGGATCTTGGAGTCATTATTGATGCCAAAATGAACATGGGCCGACAGTGTGGGGATGTGGTCAGGAAGGCCAACCGCACCTTGTCATGCATTCATAGATGCATCTCAAGCAGGTCCAAGGAGGTGATCCTCCCCCTCTATATGACATTGGTCAGGCCAAAGTTGGAGTACTGCATCCAGTTCTGGGCACTGCACTTCAAGAGGGATGTGGACAACATGGAGAGGGTCCAGAGGAGGGCCACTCGCATGATCGGGGGCAGCAGGGCAGGCCATACGAGAAGAGGCTGAGGGACCTGAACCTGTTCAGCCTCCACAAGAGAAGGCTGAGGG